TCGGTCACAAACTATATTGCGTATGACTAAGCGAAACAGCTCTCTTTTAATGGTCTGAGAGAAGGTTTTTTTGTGGGGGGGGGCGTTCCATCACAATGTCTGATGCTAACCACCAGAAGAGTAACTCTTTGCGAATTCTCCAGCTAATGCTTTCCTCTGACATGAAGAGCAATAAGGATTATGGATAAACTGCCATGGAAATTGGTTCACTGTATAGTTTCTCGCCAGAATCTATCTTACAAATTTATAAGTCTACCATTCGACTATGTATTGAGTAATGCTGCCACATCTAGTCCTGTACTTCTGCAATATATTTAGAGATTCTTGATACACCCCAAAAAAGAATCTGCAATGTTTTTGGCCCTGACATAATAACTCACGCCGACAGTAAGACTCGGAGTCTCATGTATAATGCAATCTTCAGGTAACTTATGTTAGTCGCTTTGATGTGTGGCCTCTGTGTATAGTTCGGCATTTAAGAAGAAATATGTTCTGTTACTATGTTTATTAATATATACTTAATAGCTCTGTTATTTAGCATTGAGCACTGTTTTTCTTACACCAAACCATTTATATATGTATTAGGTTGGTGCAAAAATAATGTCGTTTTTTGACGTTCAACTTAACGACATTATTCTTTGCAACCTAATAGTTATGTGTGAACACTTACACATACACTTATCTATATTTATTCATTGGATTTTACACACACACACACACACACACACAAATATATATATATATATATATATATATATATATATATATATATATATATATATATATATCCAAGTATAGGATTGGTGTATACGGAATAAATTCCAATAACCAACAATTACTATTCTTAAAAGAATGCTCAATACAGAGTAGAGCTAATATAATTATTTATTCAAAAATTATAACATAAATACGTTATAAAATCACTACAAAAATGGCCATTTTGTTTCAACACCTCAAGTGATGATGTTGAATGTAGAATAAAGGGTTTTAAAAGTTTCAAATCAGTTAACCACCCCTCGCAAGGGGAAAGCTTGAATTTTGATTTGAGTTATAAGCGAATAATGGGACATGGGGCTATCAATTTTATCCCGTAAACTCTTACTTGCTATGAAAGCCACAGCACTAACGCCTACTGTTTTTGAAAACTATTTTCCTATATAGACTACGCGATTAAAGCAGGAGGAAAGAGCTGCTAGATCCAGATCAGAAATGAGATCAGCTCCAATCATCTTTTATTCACGTCTAATATGTAGGCTGTTTTTTTTCTCACTGGCGATAGGAACGCCGACAATATTCAAGTTTCCTCTCTATGTTTTCTTCATTAACAGTTTATTATTACTAAAGGTCTCAGGAACAATGTCTCCATGAAGATTACCACTGTTCACAGTAAATGACATCAGTGAACCTCCTCACCATCCTACATCGAAAAGAGAGAAAAAAAAATGAAAAAAACGGAGAGAGAAGATCCTGATTAAATTATCTTTCTATTCCATGTTATTGTAAATCCAATATTTACGGAATGAACAATTAACAAATGTGGACAAGAAGAAAAAAAGAAGAAGATCATTTATTTTTATAAAGAAGAAGAAAAAGAAAAGATGACATTTATTTTCATAAAGGAGAAGAAGAAAAATATATTTTATTTTCATAAAGAGAAAGAAGAATAAATGTTATTTTTATAAAGAAAAGAAGAAGAAAAAGGAGAAGTGAAAGGAGAAGAAGTAAAAGGAGAAGAAGAAAAAGAAGAAAAAGAAAAAGAAGAAGACGTCACTTTATTTTCAAGAAGGAGAGGAAGAAAAAGATATTTTATTTTCATAAAGAGAAAGAGGAAGAAAATTATTTTCATAAACAAAGAAGAAGAAGAAAAAGAACAAGAAAATATCTTTTATCTTCATAAAAAAACAAGAAAAAGAAGCAGAAGAAGATCCTTTAGTTGAAGAAGAAGAAGAAGAAGAAGAAGAAGAAGAAGAAGAAGAAGAAGAAGAAGAAGAAGAAGAAGGTCTTTTATCAAAAAGTAAACGAGGAAGAAGAAGATATATTATTTTCATAAAAAAATACCGTACAAACAGCTAAATAGGTAAGTGCCGTTTATGGAGATGGTGCTATAATCGAGAATAGTGTTCATAAGTTGTTCACTAAGTTTAAAAGTAATCGTTTTGATGTAGAACAAATAGAAAATTCTACAGTCATTAAGAGTGGGCCAATCGAAAGAATACATTGGACTTGTAAAGTATTTGATGTCGCTTTGATACGTGAATTGTTGCAATGCTTTTGTGTCACGTGATTTAAAGGGAAAAATGAATGGACTGAATTTCCATTTTTGATTCTTGGCTTAAACAAAACAAAAATGATCACTTTCTGAAAAGAGCTATCACAGGCAATGAAAAATGGATAGTTTACAACAACGTAGAGCGAAATAGTTCTGGGGAAATCGAAATAAGACATGAAAAAGATGAATTCTATGGATCTGGTGGAATTGGAAGTGCCTTGCTTATTATCGGTCCGTAAAGCCAGATATTTTAATCGGACAAATCTAACAAAACTCTAAGAAAAATCTCAGGAGAAATAACAAAACAGTTCAATACATATCACCTGTGGATCATTAAACACCTTCCTAAACTCGGACAAGTGTCTAAAATTGGCCAATGGATCTTCCATCATCTGGCAGCTCCTCGGTTTATGCAAAGAGTTGCCCTTTGCTCGTCCTTGAAAATAGAATTACTACCGAACATTTCCTGTAAGGAAATATGTGTTCACTATAATCATATCCGAAATAAACAATTGTTATTAGCAAATGTCCAAGAGAACACATCTCCAAAGCAATAATAACAGCCAATAAAAGTTATATTCTGTGTTTTGCGGGATATGGAGTGTGTCGTCTCTCATGAACGTCGTAACCAAAACGAAACAGTCAATTCAGAGAAGTATTGTCGTTAATTAGAAGCATTGAACAATAGCTTCCAACAAAAATCATCCTTCATTCGTTAATCGTAAAAGCGTGCTGCAAGACCACATATTGTCCGAGTAACCCAGGCAAAGATTATAGCACTAAATATAGAACATTTCCATCATCCTCCTTATGCTCCTGTCGTTGTTCCATCTTTTCAGATCGTTACATTTTAGAGGAAAAATACTTTATTCATATCAGCCGAGAATGTCAGCCCGAACAGGCGCAACGAGTCCCTATAATGGAGATCAGTATCAGCCATGCTAATGGGAAATAGAAAGGTATCTTTCAGGTGATTAAATTAACAAGCCATTTCTTGCCCCAGTTAACAACATACTTGAGGTCATTTTTGAGATCAACTGTCAATTTGATTTCATGAACTGATCAGATTTACTATCGAAAGCGGATGTCATCACCATATATATCAAGTTGAGATATAGGTTGAAATGAAAGAATCATTTGTTTATTGTTCATTTTTAAGTGCAAGAGTTTCTTTAGTTGCAGTCTACGAACTGGAAAATGACTGCCGCTTTGGTTACTGTATGTAGTGACGTCATGAAACGGCCGTCATGTGTCCCAGCGACTTATCTCCACCAAAGGGAGATAAGCGCCTTCTGTATTTTAAAGAAGAATATTTAAACTGATTTTTATTAAGCAAGAGTCTTTAAGTTAGCTTAATCTGCATCTATTTGCCGTGTCCCTTCAGGACGTTGTCAATCATCGCTGTCCACAATTTCCTGTCCTTTGTAGCAGTTGAGAAATTTAATCTTTTTTGTTATCTCTCCCAAAATTTGGTCTGCTATCCATTCACTCAAGGTCCCTTTTAGTTTGTCCTGTGAGTATCAAATTTTCCAAGCCCTCTTTCCTCATTATGAAATTTCAATTGACTCTTTCTGGTTTTAAGTCTAAATGCCATTTTTGTTTCTATTGCCTTTAGAATTCCGTCGTTCTTCGGACCGTCGTATTTTCAGCAACTACGTTTCTGTTGCTTGAAGTCTCTTTTCCATCTTTGGCGAGATTGTATAGCATTCACTGTCACACAGAAGGACTGATATTACATAATAGTTCTGTTCTTTTTTCTTTGTTCCTAATGAAATATATCTGTATTTCTTAATATTCTGCTTAGCTTTTGGAAGTCATCTTATATGGTCATTATTATTAAGCTCAGATCCAGAGTGTCCTTTCTTCAGGCAGTATCTTTGACAAGAGCGTGATTAACGCTTAAACTCGGACGCCTGAGGCTTCGGAATAGGAAAATAACAAAAAAAAATCTTCTTTGTTTCATACTTCAAGTACGCGTGGGACTCTTACTTTAAACTCGGCCTTACGATATATTCTCTACGAGTGGGCCGTAAGGATATGTATTTATTTTAGGTTATAATTTTATATTTGCTCCCGCTACCCAACTCTCTTTCACAGACACGCAAACCCAGACAACGAGGTTTATATATTAAATTAATTTTCAGGGTTTCACACACACACACACACACACACACACACGCGCACAAAAAAAAAAAAAAAAAAAAAAAAAAAGCTTTCAGCTTTATAGATTAGAAGATAAGAATTCAAAGAGAAAAGACAAATAGATCTTGTGACGTGAGGACCGGCAGGGCATGACCTAGGGCTTTCGGAACTGCACTATATTGCGCCGCGGAGGGTTGACACAGGTCAGCGACAAATGAGTAGTGAGAAAAAAAAAGGCAAACTTCAATCAAAGTTTGTCGCTGGGGTACCGTGTCGTTTCTATATACGGGATCCTTTTTCTGCTCCCAATTCATTAAACTTTCGCAGATGTCTGTGGATTTGGGTGCATGAAGACGAAGGCGAGCAGAAAAGAAAGTTGGCTTTATTATTATTATTATTATTATTATTATTATTACATTTGAATCGTTTCAAGTGTCATCGTCGTCGTCGCTGTCTTTATTCCGGCTTCTGATGATCTTTTATTAACGTCATTGTTCGTCTTTGTGCGTGTGTGACTGCGCGCCATTTTCCTTTTTAATCATTTTCTTTTCGTCTTCATCTTGGTTATGTAATTTGACCATTGTTATTTATGCTGACTTCTTTTTGTACTCATTGCTTTTACTGTTTTAATTACTACACTATCTTTCTTTTTTTTCTTTTCTTCTTCCGTATTTACTTTCCTCGTTCCTTTTGCTTTTGTTTATTTCTTCTTTCTTTTCTCTTACATTATTTTCTTTTCATTTTTGATTTTGTTTCTTTCTTTTCTCTTTCTTTTTCTTTCTTTTTTATTTTGTTTGTTTCTTTCTTTCTTTTCTTTTTCTTTTCTTTCTTTTTTGATTTTCTTTGTTTCTTTTCTCTTTCTTTTTCTTTCTTTTTTATTTTGTTTCTTTCTTTCTTTCTTTTCTCTTTCTTTTCTTTCTTTTTTGATTTTCTTTGTTTCTTTTCTCTTTCTTTTTCTTTCTTTTTTATTTTGTTTCTTTCTTTCTTTTCTCTTTCTTTTCTTTCTTTTTTGATTTTCTTTGTTTCTTTTCTCTTTCTTTTTCTTTCTTTTTTATTTTGTTTCTTTCTTTCTTTCTTTTCTCTTTCTTTTCTTTCTTTTTTGATTTTCTTTGTTTCTTTTCTCTTTCTTTTTCTTTCTTTTTGGATTCGTTTGTTTCTTTTCTTTTATTTTTCTTTCGTTTTTGATTTTGTTTATTTCTTGCTCTCTTTTAACTTTCTTTTTCTTTCCTTTTTTGATTTTTTATTTGTTTCTTTTCTCTATCTTTTTTTCTTTTCAGATTTTGTTTGTTTCTTTTTATCTTTTCTCTGATATTACTTTTTCTTTTTCTTTCTTTTTGATTTTCTTTCTTTCTTTCATTCTTTCTTTCTTTCTTTCTTTTCTCTTGCATTACTTTCTTTTCGTCTTTTGTTGTATTTCATTTTGGCTGATTCCTTCCTTTCTTTCTTTCTTTCTTTCTTTCTTTCTCTTTGACTTCTTTCTTTCTTTTCTTTCTCTTTCATTTTTATTTCTTATTGCTTTTTCCATTCCCCTATATATATATTTTAGGACTTTCTTTTTCTTTTTGTCTTCATAATTTCCTTTTTTTCTTTTCACTATTGTATTCTTTTTCTTTGATTGATTTCTTAACACTTTTTTCTTTTGCCTCCGTTTATTTGGCTTCAGCTTTCTTTCTTTGTGTTTTTCACATTCTTTCTCTCTTCTACTTCTTCTTTCTCTTTTTCCTTCTTTTCTTCTTTGTCCTATTCGCACACTTTTTTTTCATTGCATTTTATCGCCTACGTCTGAATTTTTCTTTGTGTGTTTCTTTCTTTCGTCTTTTCTCTCTTTCTTTCTTTTCATTTTACACATTCTTCACTTTATTTGTTTTCTTCATTTACTTTTCACCAGTCTTTCTTTCTTTCTTTGCTTTCGTCGCTCATTTTTTCCTTGCTTTCTTTTATTTTTTTCATCTGTCTTTTTCTTTGTTCATTTCCTTTTTCTTTCTTTTTTCTTTCTTTTTTTTTCTATTTTACAAATTCTTCGTCTTTTTCTTTTTCTTTTCATCTTTCCTTATTTCTTTATTTTTTCTTTCTTTCTTTTTTCTTTCTTTTTTTTTCTATTTTACAAATTCTTCGTCTTGGCTGCTTTTTTCTTTTTCTTTTCATCTTTCCTTATTTCTTTATTTTTTCTTTCTTTATTTTTTCTTTCTTTTTCTTTCTATTTTACAAATTCTTCGTCTTGGCTGCTTCTTTCTTTTTCTTTCCAACTTTCCTGCTTGCTTTCTTTCTTTTTCCTTTTTATTTTACAAATTTTTCGCTTTTATTGCCTTTTTCTTTTCCTTTTCATTTTTCCCTCTTTCTTTCTGTTTTCTTTCTTTATTTATTCATTCTTTCAAATTTATCTCGTTACTGCTTTCTTTCTTTTTTTTTTCTGAATACGTTGTTTTTTCTTTTCCCATTATTAAATGCTATTTAATAGTTCGTACTCCCCATTGTTTTCCCCAGTCTAGTAGTCTTCCTTATTACTTGTCCAATTTAACCGAATAAAATAAAATCTGGCACAAGGCCACATATTTGGTGTGAATAAAGTCAAAATCAAATAATTATTAAAGTGGCGTCTGCCTCACGAAATGTTATTTGTATTTTTAATTGATTAGTTTTACCAAGATCTTCCTCTTCAGAGCATGGACGCACACATGGCTCTCCACAATTTCCTTTTGTCTGTAGCTCGAAGTAAAACTTGTCTTTTTGCTATTACTTTTAATCCCCGTTCTGCCAACAAAAGTTTGTTAGCTAGCTTACTCACTGCTTTACATTCTTGCTTTCAGAATGTCCTTTGAGTTTCCGTCCAAGCTCTCTTTCCTCACGATGTGTCCTAATGATTTCAGCTCTTTCTTTTTGTTTCAATTTTCTTTTAAAAGATCTCATTAGTAAATCGAATATATCAGGTTGTTAACAGACAGTGTTTTACTTCTTTTATGTCATGGTCGCCTTTGTTATTTTTATTTTTGGCTTAAAAGATTTAAAAAAAGAAAAGGTTTATATCTTTTAAGATGTTGACAGTTATGACTCCCCACGCATTCCTATTCTTTATGGGAGAATTGCCAAGCATTTTTGACACGAACATTATATATATATATATATATATATATATATATATATATATATATATATATATATATATATATATATATATATATATATATATATATATATATATATATATATGTATATATGTTTGTGTGTGTGTATATATGTATAAATGGTAACCAGTTTAAGAGAAGGAAACGTAGTTTCCTGTGACTTTCACCGCAGAACTCAACGTTTATTTCTCTTAAAATGGTCACCACTCAATGTTAGATAACCCAGTCTCTCCTGCTATATTTTTAAAGCCACTGAGGCACAAAGAGTTAATGAAAGTATAGGAAATCAGCAACATTACTAAGGAGTAAAAACAAAAGAATAGTAATCAGGAGGACAGTAGATCAAAGTTGGCTGAAAAGCATATCGCCGGCAAGGATAAGGAACTGTTATCGTAGAATTTACAGTTACATCCAGCCAACTCAGCAATATATTCAGTATAGTTTTTTTTTCCATTTTTAAACCATATATGGGGTAGGGAATCTTTCCTTTTCCAAGAGACATTCATGCGTGAGCGAATGCAACGAACTAGCCCAAAATTTGAGCTCAGTCGGCCAATTCCTTCTTACACACTGTATCAGTCCGACTACACTTAGAGTATTTTATAAAATCTTAATAAACATACAACATGGGAGTAGAAGTCTTAGATCCTTTATGTAGAAAATATAAACAAAGTAAACGGAATATTACTTAAATATCACTGCCATTTTTACGGTAAGTAGAGTTTAAAATATATATATTAATCTAGCCCTCTAGGGAAAGGTTAATTTTTAAAAACAGTGGCTGTTGCAGCTATTAACACATCGCTCTTCAATTAAAAATTTATACCATTTGGCTACTGAGGTTTGTATACATCTCGTATATAATGCGCTAAATTTTCCCTTACGCTGCCGGTAGGGGTAGGTATATATAGTCATCCACATACAAGCCTGTTTCAATGTATCACAGCTCATCAGTGTGGCTAGACGACCGATTGCTTCAAGCCAGGATCGAAACTCGACCGATTTTGCAGAGATACTACCCCTAAGCTATCAGCGCACGGCAGAGAAAGGAAAATTTTAAACTATTATATACGAGATGTATACAAACGTCAGTAGCCAAGAGGACTAAATTCGTAACTGAAGGGTGATGTGTTTTTAAAAATTACCCTTTCCCTAAATTGATCGATCGGTTAACGAGAGCGTAAATAAATAATCATCCACATTTTGACCTGTTTCGGTGTATCACAGCTCCTCAGTGAAGCAAGACGTCCGATTGCTTCAAACCGGGATAATCAGTCAGATATCTTACCCCTGGGACATCGTCGCTCGAATTGAAGGGAATTTTAACGTTTTTTTTTTCTCTATATGAAATACGTCAGAGGCTCGGAGAACTCGATTCGTACTTGAAATATATATATATATATATATATATTCGTTTCATTTCATTTTTGGAAGTGTTGTCTGATGATCCGGTGTTCTTTAAAAGGACTCTGGTGAAATAAATTATTATAATGGTACCTTAAAGTGGTCTGTTTTTTCTTTATATATATATATATATATATATATATATATATATATATATATATATATATATATATATGTGTGTGTGTGTGTGTGTGTGTGTGTGTGTGTGTGTGTTAATTATTGTAGATTAGTGTTGAACAATTTCTACAAAGATGATGAAGGACTTAAAGCAACAGAAACATGCTGAGGATACTGTGGTCGGGATATGTGAGCAACAACGAATGTTTACAGAAAATGGAAACAAAAAGGAAACATAATTAACATCAGGAATAGACATTTGAGGTTTCTCAGGCACATACGGAGAAGGCGTGAGGGCTTGGGAAATCTGATACTCACGGGGCAGATTGAAGGCAAGAGACGCAGAAGAAAACAAAGCATAACATACATAGTGAGCTTGAGTAAATGGATGGTGGTACAAGGTTCAGGAGAAATAACAGCAAATCGAAATTTATCAAGAGTTACAAAAGGAAGTTGTGGAGAGCCATGATCGTTACATAAAGAAAAGGTGAGAAAATGACTGAAGCCGACATGCCAGATCAGAGCCAAAAACTTTGCAGATTCTTTTTTCGGTTGTATCAAGTCTCTGTAAATACATAGCAGAAGCAGCCGACTAATTGTGGCAGCAATATTCAAAGCAAGGACGAATGGTAGATTCTTGGCTTTTACATCATTTTCTTTTTTTTATGTACCAATTTTTGCTATTTTTATGAATTTTGGATCCATTATTCTATTTGTTTTTCCCAATTGCAGATTTCTTTGACTTGCATTCCTGTTTCTTTGTTATTATTATTATCATTTAATAATATCCCCCCATATATATATATATATATATATATATATATATATATATATATATATATGAAGAAATAGACTTTTAAGGTGTGATATATTTCTGGGATAAAGTGCTCCATATCAGAGATATTGAGGCCTTGAGTGTTGGGTTTTTTCTCAACTATTTATATATATGGGTCAGTGGTGCATTGTGGGTAGTCCGTTCAGGCGGTTATTTTGGCGGGAGTGGCTTGCTTATTTATTTATTTATTTATTTGGGTTAATTTATTTTGCTTGTTTTTTTATTCATTTCATTCTTTAATTTATATATTTAATTATTCTTTTCGCTTTTCGATGTTTTCCTAACGTAGTAAAAATTTGTGAGGAAATTTCTTAAGTCACTTATTTATAAGTTCATTTTTGTCTGGGAAGATAATTAAAGCTATTTATTTGTCCAATTTTTTGAGTCTATTCTGTTATTTTGGCGGGGACAGTTTCTAATTTTATTTATTTATTTATTTGGATTGATTATTTTTATTTATTAATCAAGTAAAAATAATCAATCCAAATAAAAAAAAAAATTTACTTTTATATATATTCACTTATATATATATATATATATATATATATATATATATATATATATATATATAAATGTACGTAAGTGTTCACATATAGATGCATATATGAATCCTTTGGTGTAGGAAAAACAGTGCTCAATGTTAAATAACAGAGTTATTAAGTATATATTACTAAAAATAAAACAGAACATATGTCTTCTACTTAAATAGTGAATCATACACAGATGTCACCGAGCAAAGTGACTAACACAAGGTACCTGAAGATTGCATTAGGCATGAAACTCTGAGTCGTACTGTCGGCGTGAGGCATTATGCATGTTTACTAATATTGACTGTACAGGGTGGGGACAGATGGAATAAAATCCCGATAACCAAAAATACTATTATTAAAAGTCTTCAATACCGTAGAGAAGGGTTGAAACAAAATGATATAATTTTGAATATATATATATATATATATGTGTGTGTGTGTGTGTGTGTGTGTGTGTGTGTGTTTGTGTGTATCTGTGTGTTTGCGTATCTGTGTGTATGCATATATTAATTGATGCAGCATATATAATATTATAAAGAAGCAATCATGCAAAGAATTAATCAGTAAAGTTAGTGTATATATTGGCGAAATCACTTCGCTAACAGATCAATAAAATGTTAACTTACTAACAACTCTCTGACTGATGTAATCCTTATGTTTAAAATTATGGGATGGATAACATGTTCTGTTACAAGTACTTTCGAAGAAATTTGCTCCTTCATCGTCAGGTATTAATATTGTTTTCATTTCAGGTAAATTTCAGGTAAATTTCCGAGACGAATATAGGGAGACGTGAGCAGGAGTCGCAGGGGAGTATGGCTGTTGGACGCGGCAGGCCGAGTCGAACCCAGCTGACAGCATGTCGCATATGCTTTTCATGTTGACGATTCGACTGGGATTTGCAAAAACGCTATGAACCGAGTGATGAAAATCGAATAATCTATAACAGCTTAGAAAGAAAATTGTTGGATGAAATGAACCATCATTAACTGTAAAGAAGACTGTTCTCCATCTAAATAAACTGATGCTTTACCATGACTTTTTCCCTAAAATCAAACGATTGATTCGAACAAGTATTGTTCCATGTTAGAGCAACTGACAACAATAGTCGATAAAAAGCATCTAGAATAACGAGAAACCATGCAAAAATTGTTATATCCTTGTTGGAAAGTTTACTTTTTGATTGTAAGCTGTTGGATTATTTGATGTTGAATACAAGATTTATAACCCAAAACTTACACCGTCCTGGATATGACGATAAACTACATTCGCGTCCTGGGTAAGTCGATAAACTACATCCAACTACAAGGCCTCTGATCAGGAGGTTCTGAAGAGCGTTGAACCAACTCTTAATTGCTGGTGTTCCCAGTACCACCCTGATCTCGAGTAGTAGTACTTGTCAGGGTCCCAGGCAAATGGTTACCCACCAAAAACGGGGCAAAACACTATGAAAGTATAAAAATATGTTTTAATACCTGTAATACTTTTATTGATAATTATTACCAGCAATAGATTATTTCCAGCAGCACATTTTTGAAAATGGAAAATATTACCAGAAATATATTTTTGGAAAAAAAAAACATTATTTGCAATAAAAGTCTTGTCGACATTAAATAAATCTTTGAGGTTGATATGCCGTAAAACAAAACTTATAATTGTTATATATATATAAATAGACAAATTCCGACAATTATTTTAATATATTTTTTATGTTTATACGGTCTTTTTTTTTTTTTTTATAGATACAAATATTTAAGTAAATGCTCTGCTTATAATAAACAGTATTAAGGACATTTATCGGCCTGAATGTCTGAGAAATTTTCACAGAAAATATGCGTCCTCCGACAGGAATCGAACGTGTATCCTATACGGTACCGTCATAAAGCCTGCTGTGCTTTTACCAATTGAGCCACAGAGAAGCGTTCCGGTTAGCAAGGTCGATTTTAATGCCTTTAAACTACAATTCTCCATGATTTTCTCTTGTACATTCATATCTGCTCGATGTGCATCCAAATGTAAACAAATGACGTCACACATTTTGAAAATAAAAAAGAACGTATAAACAAAAAAATATCTTAAAATAATTGTCGGACTTTGTCCATTTCATAATGTGTGACATCAGACATTCAGGCCGGTAAATGTCGTTAATACTGTTGATCATAAGCAGAGAACTTACTTAAACATTTGTATCTATATAAAAAATGAACTTATAAACATAAAAAAAATATAATACATGCATACATACCTACATACATATTTTTTTATGTTTATATATATATATATATATATATATAGTGAGAGAAAGAGAGAGAGAGAGAGAGAGACGTTTAAACTTGAGTTAAAACGTAGACATACGTCAGGTTTATACATGAGGCATTATTACTTGGAGTTGCTGAAAAGTTATCATTCGAATCCATTCCCCAAATTATTAACCATCAGATATTTTTCAATGATCCCTTAGACCTGGAAAGGTTTTAGCTTCATCTAGTAATAATATTGTTGTTTTAATTGTAGTTGTGTTTTTATTGTAATTGTTACATTTGTTCAATAGTTTATTGTTTTCATTTTTACAAATAAAGGAGACGTTTTTTTTCCTTTCTTACTCTCCCCGCCTCACTCTTCCTTATCTTACATGAGGGGAAATGAAACCGCAATAAAGGTTTATAAATTATTCGCTGAGCCATACTGATGAGAGAGAAAGAGGCAAAGACAGAGGGAGGGAGGGAGAATGAGTAATAAATAAATAAAGAAAGAAAGAAAGAAAGAAAGAAAGAAAGAAAGATAGAGTATGTTTAGAGTTTGAGTGTAGGAAAAGATTAAATATGGGGAAAAAAGAAAAAAAGAAAGAACATCAGAAAAAAAAAAGAATAAAGACAAAATTGGCCTGTATGAAAAGAGAGACAAAAGAGGGAAAAAGAGAAGAAGGAAGAAAGAAAAGATTGACGGTGAAGTGAGAAAAAAGACTACGAAGTGAAAATATGTAAAAAATAGGCAAAGATAAAAAGATAAAAAAGAAAGAAAGAAAGAAAGAAAGAAAGAAAGAAAGAAAGAAAAAAAAAGAAAGAAAGAATGTAGTCAATGTTTGTGTAGGAGAAAAATAAGGAAATAATTAATATACGTCATCTCAGAAATATAGATAAATTCTGAAGAAGGCCAGAGCGTACAATGGCAGCAACGTCGTAAATATGGCAATAAAGATGCGGACAAGAGTCGGAACGATGGAAATAGTGTAAGTCCTAACGGACATGTAAAACAGCTTACCTGACCCCAACGATAATTTTTTCGGGAATTTACCTCGTAGCATGTCCAATATATGGTTGGAGATATCATTAAGAAAGAAAGAAAGAAAGAAAGAAAGAAAGAAACAAACAAACAAACAAACAAACAAACAAACAAACACACAAACAAAGACAAAAGGCAAAGAGGAAGAAAGAAAGAAAGAAAGAATATAGTCAATATATGTGTGGAAGAAAAAATATGGAAAAAAAATTAGACAAGACCAAAAAAGAAAGAAAGCAGATGGTCAGTGTTTGTATGGAAGAAAAGAAAAATAAGGAAAGAGAGAGAGAGAGAGAGAGAGAGAGAGAGAGAGAGAGAGAGAGAGAGAGAGATTGAAGTGAAGACTAAGAAAAGGGGGAAAGGTGGCAAATAGAAGCTTGCAAAAAGGTAGGGAAAGAAAGAAAGAAAGAAAGAAAGAAAGAAAGAAAGAAAGCGTGTCAGTGTTTGTATGGAAGGAGATAAACAATAGGGGAAGTGAGAGAGAGAGAGAGACAGACACACAGAGAAAGAAGAAAAAAGAATTAACTGGCGAAGAAGTGTGAGAAAAGTTTGCAAAATTAAAATATGGAAAAGGTAGGCAAAGCCAGCGTAAAACAAAAAAGAAAGGAGAAAAAAGAAAGAACGAAAAGTAAGAAAGAAAGAAAGAAAGAAAGAAAGAAAGAAAAAAAAGAAAAGAAAAGGAGAAAGTTAAGGAATCATGGTATCAATAGGCAAAAAAGAAGAAAGCTTAAGAAAGAAAAACAAAGGTGATGAACATCCGTAAAAGAAAAGGAAGAAAAAGGGAATAATGTCAAGAAAGAGCAAAAGACAGGTAGGTTATTGAAAAAGAGGTAAAAAAAAAAAGTGTAAATTGAGAAAGAAATCGAGGTACAAAATCGTGAGAAAGAAAGAGAGAGCTTAACAGCGAGGAAAGAAGGGAAAAAAAAAGAGTAAACAAAGTTATATAGAGAGGGGAGAGGTAGAGAGAAAAAGGAAGAAAAAGGGAATAATGTCAAGAAAGAGCAAAAGACAGGTAGGTTATTGGAAAAGAGGTAAAAAAAAATGTAAATTGAGAAAGAAATCGAGGTACAAAATCGTGAGAAAGAAAGAGAGAGCTTAACAGCGAGGAAAGAAGGGAAAAAAAAGAGTAAACAAAGTTATATAGAGAGGGGAGAGGTAGAGAAAAAAGGAAGAAAAAGGAATAATGTCAAGAAAGAGCAAAAGACAGGTAGGTTATTGAAAAAGAGGTAAAAAAAAAAAGTGTAAATTGAGAAAGAAATCGAGGTACAAAATCGTGAGAAAGAAAGAGAGAGCTTAACAGCGTGGAAAGAAGGGAAAAAAAGAGTAAACAAAGTTATATAGAGAGGGGAGAGGTAGAGAGAAAAAAACAGAGAAAGAGAGCAAATGGGAGAGAGAAACAGAGAGAAAAGTGGGTGTTAGAAAATGGCGTAAGGGCAAATTAAAAATTTCAACTTCACCTGATCCTTAAATGATACGATGCTGTCAATTTGACGGAATCTGTCCTGACGTTTTGTGGGGTTTAAACAGAAGAAAGGAGGAGCGGACAAAAGCAGACCCCCTCGGGCACCTTCCCACCTCTACTCAATTCGCCGTACACATCTTCAGCGTCCATTGTAAAAACGAACACCCGCCCTGATGCATCAAGGGTGTAAGGACGCCCAAGCCTGCATAAGTACTCATGAAAATTACTATGTTTGTGCGGTCTGCTCATCTGTAAGTTAGACACAAGCCCTACTGGCTGCGTTTATTTGTACGTTTTTGCCCATTGTCGAACAGGGGACTTTATTGCAACGAATGCATGAGTCGGTATAGGTGTATTTGTGTGTGCAGTTCTACGTGTGTACATGTGTGCATATACGGTTGCTTCAAAAGAGAATTCGTGGTGATGCTTATAATGTGTAAATCAGTGTATACTGTGGTCATTGTTAAAGTTATTTGCATTTTGAGAAACTCGTTTACCAGTTCCATCCAAAAATAATGGCTTATATATAAGAAAAAAATTCTTAAATCTATACTATTATTACCTTTTCCTATGTGTGTCTTCGTATATTTAAGCTTCATTTGGCTGGACAGATTTTGTTTTTTGTATATACCATTAAACATTTTGGTCGAAATGCAGCCGCCTGCACGTTCCCAGTCGATCACCATTAAGACCCATTCACGTCATTTCTTGGATTCTTTCTGAACTAATTTGCACATATTTAATTTTGCACTCATTATTTCCTGTTTCATCTAGCTTAGCCTGACATTTTTCGTTTATTATTATTATTATTATTATTATTATTATTATTGGTGGTGGTGGTGGTGGTGGTATTATTAGTATTATTAATTTATTGGGTTAAACACTGCGTTCGCCGGCGTCTTTTAGGTTCACTTTCTTCGTATTGGAATGAAAGACAAAACTGGGTGTAAAGAAAATGCCTTTGGATTTTTGAGGATAAGCGGGGCAATAAATTAAATTACCTATTCAGAACCGACGACCAAAGACCAGAAAACACTAGCTTCATAAACGTTAAAAAAGACTATATGAGCATTGCAGAGATATTCGACGTAGCAACACTTTAAAGGCACTGGCGGTTCACCGAAAATTTCAACTTAATAACTCGTAGTCTGATCACGAGAGAAAAAGAATACACTAAGAAGAAAGTGTATTGAAAGTGCGCTGATCTCATAATTCTTGACAATAAATCTAAGATCAGAACCATACATAATATCACCGATCATCGCAAAAACAATAGTAGCACAATGCTTTATTCGAGTTAATATAGAAAAAAGAGATCGACTCGGAGTGGGCTGATTTAAAATCCAACAGAAACCAACAGTTGTAATATATATATATATATATATATATATATATATATATATATATATATATATATATATATATATATATATATATGTTGTCCAAAAATAATGTATACGTTCTTTAAATATTAATAGTTCATGATACATTTTTTATATGGATGAAAATCTGCAAAACAGATGGATTGGAAGAAGAAGGACAATTGAATACCCACCTAGATCACTAGATTTGACACCCTTGGATTTCTTTTTGTGGGGTTTTCTAAAAGACAAAGTTTGCAGCAGGAAACCTGAAACAATTGCTGAAATGAGAGTAGCAATTGAAGAAGAATGTGTTCAAATATCAGAGGAAATGATACTGGACGTTTGTAGGTTGATTTCTTCAAGATATGAAAAGTTTATTAAACAGAACGGCAACCATTTTGAGAACTTGATGTGAACTCATCATTATTTGAACATTTTGCCATTGCTCCAAGTAGCGTTTATCTTATTGAAGTTTATTTTCTATGTTTTTTGTAAATTTTTCTCTGAACTTCTTTAAATGTGTATTCTTTCTCTTGTATTAATCCTATTTACAAGTCAAAATACATAAATTGAATAAGTTATAATGATTCAAAGAGTGTATACATTATTTTGGGACACCCTGTATATGTGTGCGTTTGGAGGAATAATCTAGACATATTATTTTTATTTTAATTTTTATTCTCGTCCTTTCAAATTTACGGATCAATCTCGTAATGTTGCCATTAAACTCATTAAGGAAGACGCCGTAATTTTTGTTATTTCTTTTTTTTCATCCCTCTCATACAAGATAACCTTCAGGGGTGAATTACTAAGACAGATACTAATGTCATTGATAGTTGTGATTTTTTTGTAAATGCGCATGAAACGCGCTCTGTTCATTGAAAAAGTTAACGTTATCAAGGGAGGTAACTTTTTTATAATTGTAAATTATTTTTAAAGAATTACAATTTAAGTATTGTAATTTAAAAAAATTAAAATTTAGGTATTTTTAAACCTAGCTGTTATAGACACTTTAAAACATTTTTACTATACTCATAATTAATCTTATTTAGTATTTGTTGTAACTTTTTTATATAGAGGGCTTGAAGAAGTTTTTGCTTTTTATTTTCATGATGGAGTATACTTGTATTTCCAATTAATATTTTTTAAATTGTCAATGTGTACTGGAACTTTCTTTTTAAATGTTGAGGTATGGTGCTTGAATCTGCCAAATTATATATATATATATATATATATATATATATATATATATATATATATAAACGATTTATTTTTAGTAGATGCTCATATTTAAGTTGATGTTCTGTTTATTCATTTGCGTAATGTTCAGCTTATACAAGGCCGAGGAGGCACTCGAGGTAGAGGGTTACTTTAAGGAATGTTTTATACGGACAGGAGGGGAAATAACGTTTAACTCTCGACTTGAACAGGTTAAAATTGAAGTGAACAGGGAAAAATCCACTTGAGAGTCTATTACACAGAACAGTGGTTCGTGGAAATTGAACTGTATACTTATTTATTTCCATGTACATCTATCGTCCTGAATATTCAAGAAATCTTATTAGCAAAATATGTATTCTCCATGGATATCTTCTTCATCTTCTACCTCCAGCTATGGGTAAATAGCAGGACTGACTGGGTTCTATAGCCTTGGATGGCAACTGGTCTAGGAGAAGAACAACTCTGAATTCAAAACCTGCGGAGGGTCATTTGGGGACCTTGTGGCACGTAGTGCAACAGGTCTCTGCATTCGGCCCTTCAAAAAATGTGGTTGGTTCTGCCCAAATAATTCACCGCTATAGTCAAATCATATGTGCTGGTGTCTGTTACTTGACCCTCATACGTCGAATATGATGGGAGAGTCCACTATACACACACACACACACACACACATATATATATATATATATATATATATATATATATGACGAAATATATACATTATGAAATAGACAAAGTCCAAGAATCATTTTAAGACATTTTTATGTTTATACATTCTTTTTATAGATACAAATATTTAAGTAAATGCTCTGTTTATAATAAACAGTATTAAACAACATTTACCGGCCTGAATGTCCGAGAAAATGTCATAGAAAATATCCATCCTCCGACAGGAATCGAACCTGTATCCCATACGGAACTGCCATTTAGCCTGACGTGCTCGGTTCGCAAAGTCGATTTTACTCTCTTTTAACTACAATCCTCCATGATTCTCTTATTGAAAGCTGCTCATGGCGTATCCAAATGTAAACAAATGACATCACACATTAATTATTTTAAGACATTTTTATGTTTATATATAAACAGAGGATTTACTTAAATATTTGGATCATAAACATAAAAATAACAGTTATTCATTCGAAAATTATAACACAAGTATGTTATAAAATCACTACAAAAGTAGTTTATTTTATTTCAACACCTCTGGTGACTTATCAAGTGATGATGTTGAATGTAGAATAAAGGTTTTTAAAAGGCTCAAATCAATCAAACACCCCTTGCAATGGGAAACGCTGTTACATAAGCTGGAATGACCAATCAGAATACAAGTATACGAGAATTAAAAAAACTTGACAACGAACTAAGGTTATAATAACTATTTAATGTCTTAATGTTGGGGTTAGATTAAAATAAAATTTATTCCAACTAATAAGTATTAAATTATACGATAAAATTTGAAATTAAAAATTAAAAATTGTCCATTTTAAAATTTAAATTTAATCTCTATTAAGTTTAAAATTATAAAATCACTGTGAGCACTCTTTTAAGAATAGCAATTGTTGGTTATTGGAATTTAAGTAAATGGTCTGTTTATAATAAACAATATTAATTACATTTACTAGTCTGTTCGATTCCTTCGGGGTACTCATTTTTTCTACAAAATTTCTTGTATATATATATATATATATATATATATATATATATATATATATATATATATATCATAATACACACACAGACACAGTCACTCACATAAACACACACACTAACAAACACACACACACATACGCACACACACAAAACACACACACATATATATATATATATATATATATATATTAATGCGTGTTTCATTAAACAATATAGACAAGTTTTGTCTATTTAGAGATTTTCGCTTCCGCGTCTCGTATATACGAGTTTGTCGTTAATTGTAATTTTCATGCAGCAAGGACGGACTATCATTGTTGTTTCGTCCGTTGTTGTTTGATTTACTGAAATTGTCATCTTTGATAATGGCTTGTGTAAGCCGAAAGCTTCGATTGGATTTAAACATCTATCAATATAGTGTTTTCCTTTCGTCTTTTACATTTATTTTGTCTTTGAGTTTTGATTTTAAAGGAAAAAATTACAGCCTGATGATGAAAACATGAAGTCCTTGAAGTACTTGCTCCTCTAAAAAATATACCAGATCCATCTGACAACAATTTTATACATAAGGATCGCATCATTCAGTGGATTGTTAGTAGTTTAATGCTGTCTGTTAGTGAAGAGATTTCGCCATTAATTAAAATATATTTTCCTGAGAAAAAAAAAACTACTAAAACATATCAATATATTAATTGAACTATATACTTAGTTCATGTCTTGTTAACTGAAAAACACTTGCATAAAAAAGAATTCGTGAATTTACCATATTACAAAATTCTCACTTGAAATTTTGAACTTTTGCGTTGCGACTCGCACGTTCCGAGATTGTACAACCGTCAATAAATAGCACATTCTTAAAAAAAAACATATTTCGGTCTACAAACAATTATTTTGTCTTCAAGTTTTAACTTTAAAGGAAAAAAGCCTGATGGTGGAGTCATGGATCTTCGAAAGTACTTGATTAACTTAAAAAAATATACACTAGAAACATCTGACAACAGTTTTATAAATGAGGAT